AGGGGGCTCAACACACATCCCTGAGGAGAGCCAGTGCTGAGGGTTATGGTGGAGGAGGAGAGGTTGTGGATCCTCACTAACTGTGGTCTGTTTGTTAAAAAGTCTAGTACCCAGTTGCAGATGGAGGGGCTTAGTCCTAGTGTGGATAGTTTGTCCATCAGGGTTTGGGGGATCATGGTGTTGAAGGCGGATGTGAAGTCCACAAAGAGCATACGGACGTAAGAGTTTTTCTGCTCCAGGTGGTTGAGCGCAGTGTGGACCACAGAGGAGATTGCATCCTCTGTTGATTGGTTCTCACGGTATGCATACTGATGAGGGTCCTCGTTGATGTTGATGGTTGTTTTGATGTGAGTCATGACCAGTTTTTCGAAGCATTTAGCAACTATCGGGATGAGGGCCACTGGCCGATAGTCATTCAGACCAGTCACTGTAGAGCTTTTTGGGACTGGGATGATGGTGGCAGTCTTCAGGCAGGTGGGAACTGTCTCCAGGGTAAGTGAGGTGTTAAAGATGTCTGCCAGCACCTCACAGAGCTGATCAGCACATTCCTTCAACACTTTTCCGGGGATGTTGTCTGTGCCAGTTGCTTTGTGCGGATTAATGAAGATGATACTAAGATGAAGATGAAGATGAAAAGATGATACTAATCAAATTTTTATAAGAATGTTTCTGTTCGGTGCCCTGAGATGACTTCTGTTATGACTTGGTGCTAAATAAATAAACTGAACTGAAATTAATTTGTTAGTCAACTTGTTCTTTCAGAGCAGCACGGTGGCACAGTTGGTAGAGCTGCTGACTCTCAGCGAGCAGGTTACCCCGGTTCAAATCCCAGTCTGGAGGCCTTTCTGGGTGGAGTTTGCATGTTCTCTCCGTGCATGCGTGGGTTTTCTCCAGGTACTCCAGTTTCCTCTCACAGACCAAAAACATGCATGTTAGACTGATTGGTAACTCTAAATTGTCCCTAGGTGAGAGTGAGAGAGTGAATGGTTGTTTGTCTCGTTTGTCTCTATGTGTCTCTGTGATGGACTGGAGACCTGTCCAGGTGTCCCCCACCTCTTGCAGATTGATAGCTGGATATGGGCACCAGTGACCCCCACAACCCAAAAATGAAGAAGCAGGTAAAGTGGATGGATGGATGGATGAATGGATGGATGAATGGATGGATGAATGGAACTTGTTCTTTCATCAAAAAATGAACTCTTTCCAGTGGTCAGTTTTCACCTCATTGGAAATAAGTAAAATAACATTTTTGTAATAAATAATGTTAATAATAATAAAAGCAATAATGTTATTTTGGGTGTCCATAAATCTCAGACTCAGAAATATTTTTGGAAAATCTGACCTTGCCCCCAACATTTCATGATATGTGATCTTCAATCATCTTCAATCTTCATCATGTTATCTTAAAGATTTTACCAAAACAGCTAAAATCCCATCATATTTCATTACAAAATGATCATAGCTTAAATATCTGGCATGAAAGGTGCTGAGCAAGATTTGTTTCTTAGGAGATGCTAGGTTTTTAATCTTTTACCTGTCACTTGGAGAATTTTCCTTCTTAAAGTTTTCTGTGTGTGCCTGTTCTTGTGGAGCACCAGCAGACAATAAGGAGAGCAGGTTGACTTTAATTACACACTGAAGTCATTTGGTCAACTCAGCTGTGTAATCTGACTTCTTGCTATTGTGATCCAACCCTCGTGTGTCCCTTCAGTCCTCGACACTTAATCACTGTCAGCTGTGCAGGTGTTGCTCTCAGCTTGTTGTCCTCATCCTTTGCGAACAACACAAATAGATATTCTATCCTGTAATTGTCTGCACAGGCTGACTCAGCCTATTTCCAGCCCGTGTGCTCGACTAAACCCGACAACATATCATTAGGAGCAGTCCTCCTCCCCCAACCTGTCCCCGACTCATCCCAAAGTCTGTTTTCTGTCTGAAAACAATCCCTCAGCCCGTTCCCATCATATTCGTGTCACATTCCAGGCTGAGATAGAAACAGGGTCACAGGTCTCAGGTACAAGTGGAGTGAGTGGATCACCCTGGTGCTTTCCTCTGACGCCTCGGGCTTAAACTCCGTAAGAAGAAAAGCTCCAGGAGGTAAAACAAAGCTGACATCCAGGGTTAGCAGGAATGAGGAAAGGAGGGTGGGGTGCATTAAATACCACTTCACTCCTTTATTCAATATAAGTGTTTACACAAAGAGATCAGGTTAAATTAACTGACATGTTAAAAAAAAACTGATTTGCTAAAAGTGACTTTAAAGGAATAATCCACACATTTTACGCAACAAAGTCCATCAAAGTGGTTCCAGTCACACATTGCAGGACAAAGTATTCCTGCAATGTGTGACGGGAGCCACTATATATATTTTTGTTTGATTTTAAAATCGGAAAAGCCAAAGCCTATAAAAACAAGATTTTTTATAGGGTACATTTTCAAATGAAGGGGAATGAGATGTGCTCATAAAAAATTGACACGTAAACATTTTGACCATTATAAATATGTTTACTGGCATCAAAACATAGAGCTGTTTAGGTTTTTGTATTCTAATACAGTATATCACATTAGGTATCATTACCAGCTTATCTCAAACAAGTGTGAAAATTAGCAGACGTGGCATATATATATATATATATATATAAATATA